GCTTAATTCGCTTCGTTTGTCTATCTTGTTCGATGTTATACGTACGCGACCGATGAGAGTATACGAAAGGAATTCCTCTCGCAGTGTTTGTCTTCTGACTTGCCTGTTCAAGCATCATTATTCATCGGATTATACATTTCATCCAATGACTCTTATAAGTCTAAGGGACTACTTTATTTCTTAATGTACCTGTTTATAATGTTTATAATTTGTTCAGCCCTTGCACATAGTATGCAACTTCTTCTGCCACCGCCTGAAGCAAAACAAACACGCAAATTACGTAGACTAACGCTCCCCACAGCCACTGACAAGACCAACTGGTAGGGCTCATATTGTACAAGTTAAATAAATGATTGATGCCTCATCTCAATTTTTGGTTTGACACGGTCGTATCAAAGTTTTATAACTGCTGTTGCAATGCGCAAGTCATTTATTAGTCTGCGGGCTGATACAGGGGTAACGTTCCCCCGTTGCATTCATGGGGGTTGAACAGATAGCCACGTGTGGATGTTGGGGACCAGATGCACCGAAAGCCAGTACTGGACTGCGGTTCTGGCTTTCAATGAGAATTTAACCGGCAAAGAGAACCGGACTTTTATCTCGTCTCCGTTGGGATTTAACATCAATGCATACTGTTTTTTGTGTTCTTGCCGAGACTCAAGTCGAAATCATTCTGGATGAGGACCGAAATCCTAATCCACAAGCTACTCGGTCAATGTCCAAATATTTGATCGTATATTCACATGATTTGAATGCCTTATTATTATTCCTATATTTATTTCTGGCGAATTCGAGTCCCTGTTGCTAAATCTCAATAAGTACAAACTTCTACTAAATACTAGTCTCATATTAATTATATGACAACTAACATGCCTCAATAATATGCGGAACGAGAGGCATTTAGGAACAACGATAGGCAGGTCTTGGTGTGTAATTTAGCAAGAACATGTACAAAGCTAATGCGTTTAAATGCAGTCACACGAAAACTGAATGGGGATGAAAGTGACCGACGTTGTGCTCATTCTTCACTTAACCTAGCAGATCACATTGTGCCGGCAAAAGTGAAATAATTACAAATCAGTGTTTGATGTAGCTTAATATTAGTGACAAAGAGAAATACTTTAGTTAGATCAAAACAAATATTCTCTTTCAGGATGATACCATATGCATATATGAACATACATAATTTTTGTCCAATTCGAAAATCAGTGAAATGTACAATTGCAGGTTTCAAGTGAACCTTACTCGCTCCATGTTTTCATAGACCCATCCAAGAGGAGGAGCAGCAGAGTGATCGAAATGGGGATTGTTGAGAATGTGGGGAAGTATTTGTTTGATATGAGTAACAAAATCAAAAAAACAAATAACCAAGAAAACCAGGTTCACATTGAATTCAATCTAACTGGATTTGTTTCCGTACGTTGCCGGCTGCATTCCTGATGTCCTTCTGGGAATCGTCCACACTTGAGGTCCCGTATTCCCGTACGACTTGTTCAACCATTGACGAGGGTTTGGACTTGCAACAACAGAACAGTTCGATGAACATCACACGGAACTGTTTCAGCACAACAATAAAGACAAAGAAATTTCCAAAAGAGTAGATCGCATTCAAAGCATTGCCTACTTGTTCTATCGTTCGGGACATTTCTGTATGTAGGCCCACATAACCAACATAGTGAAACGCTATGCTGATGAACGAGGGAAACTGGAGTAACATGAACAAAGTGACAATGCTCAACACGAGTCGCGTGGCTCGGACTTGTCTTCGCTGTCGTCCACGCATGGCACTAGCCTGTACACCAGTACCGGGGTTGTTCTTCAAATTACTGTAACCCGGAGTTGGGGGTTCGGAGATAAGAAATCTTTCCATCTGACGACTCCAAGGTTTCAGAACGCTGACGATTAGCATTGTGAAAATGAATATCAAACACCACGTTATGCATGTTTGATTCATATGATAGCAGAACAGAGAAAATACGATACTTTGCCTTTCATCCAGAAGAAACGTTTCCATCCAAAGGGCAAATTGCATCCTGGTAGGGTGGAAACATAGCATTCCCATAAAGTCTGCATGTTTGATGTAACCCAATATCATAGAGATGCACACAATCACCACAAATGCGATTGTAAACGAAAGACGGTCACGGAGAACTCGTTGCCATCGTTTTGCGCCCAACGGCCAAATAACAACCTCCGCACGGGCCATAGTGATGAGACAAATTGCCCAATTTCGACACAACAAACCCAGATCAGCAAAATAGAACATAAAATTCTGAATGACTGGGAGTGCTTGAATTCTGCGTTTGGTCGATTCCATCTGAGCAAGCGTGTCCAATTTGGGTGAAACTGCATCGGTGAAGGTGGCCACAAACAATCGGAAGAGAAAATTGTGGAAAACATAAACACATTCACAGACACAGAGAATAAGTAGAGACAAAGTGGCTGAACTCCTTTTCGTTCCCACTACTGAAATCTTTCGACGCGAATACGCGGGTCTTAAGGTTCCAGATGGTTCTTCTGCACCGGAGGCAGGATTCAGCTGGTTTGCATTTTGTTTTCCGGAACCCGATTCTCTCACCGTATTCATTCTGGCTGCTCTCTCATCGACACAAAACACCACCAGAGCGGCCACATTGAGGCAGAATGCGATGAGTGCAAAGAAGGCCGAAACAAGTTCACCAACTGGTTTTGGTAGGGCCGGATTTGGTTCATATATCCTGCTATCATTGACTAGCCGACAATCACCCAGATATCGCACATGATGATAGAACTCGAATGCAAACGCCAGTGTCTGATTGTCCTCCATGTGGAACAGCACTGCCTTGAATCGGCTATGTGCGTGTGGAGTTTGCCTGCCAAATGAGCTGTATAATTTGGTTCTGTTCTATACTGAGTTTTTGAAGGATAGCATAGTTTCGTCCAGTCTATGGTAGTCGGACTCAATCAATAGGCTAATTGTGTGTAAAAGTATGCCCCGCCACTCAAAGGTTACCACACTTGTGTTTGTGCGCAGACTGATGTGTGTTTGTGTATTTCTGTTTTTTTT